TTCTGGAGTTGCCGAGTCAGAGCCCAGACATTGATCCAACTGAGAATTTGTGGCTGAACTTGAAAAAGTTCTGTTCACTCATGATGTCAGTGTCACTCAACAGAGCTTAAACATTTGGTAAAATTGCAGCATCTCGATGTTCAGGCTGATTTAAACCAAAACAGGATCAGTGATGTAACTGCAGCCAACGGTGCATCAACTGAATACTGACAGGACGGGGTTGAGTACTTATGCAATCACTTATTTTACATTTAGATTTTTAATTATTGTACATTACCTTGAAGAAATCTGTTGTCACGTTGATGTGAAAAACTCTTTTTTGGGGGGGGGAATTCTTGTCAAAAAAGTTGGAAAGCAATAAAAGGCCAACTTCCAGCTGGGGTTCATACATTTTATTGGCTCTGTATCTTAAAAACAGGTTGAGTTGCAAACAGCGTTATGAGAGAACGAGCTCATTAAACTGTGTGGATAGATGACCAGTTTAAATGAATATAAGTTAGTCAAACATCTTCTCAGCCATCGCAGCAATCCGTTATTCTTTCCTGCTCACCGTATTGAAATAAAACACGTTAAAGTCGCAGGAAAAAAAAAAGATTAATCGTCACATTTTTCTGCGTCGCCAGCTGGGATACACTCCTCTCCATGTGGCCTGTCACTATGGCAACGTGAAGATGGTCAACTTCCTGCTGAAGAACCAGGCGAAGGTCAACAGCAAGACCAAGGTCAGTGTTTGTTCTGCCGTTTGAACGGCTCCGAGTGTGTTTGCTGTATCTGGCTGAGTGCTTTCTGACTTTCTGTTTCCTGCAGAACGGCTACACGCCTCTGCATCAGGCGGCGCAGCAGGGACACACTCACATCATCAACCTGCTGCTGCATCACGGAGCGTCGCCCAACGAGCTCACCGCTGTCAGTACAAACGTCGCACTGCACGGTCAAACCTGCATGCCAGCGTCTCCACATTACACCAGACACTATCCCAGATATCAGAAAAAGTCAATGTAGTGAAAAAATTGCATTGATTGTTCCAGTTTTATTTCCTGATGTCGTTCACTCAGCTGCTTTGTTTCTGTTTCCTTCGTCCAGAACGGGAACAGCGCTCTGTCCATCGCCCGGCGGCTCGGCTACATCTCCGTAGTCGACACTCTGAAGGTGGTAACAGAGGAAACTCTGACCACTCAGGTGCGTCTCAAACTGTGTTTGAATCTACGTTATGTTTCCTGGAGCTGCTTTAGACGTGTGCTGTCCTACATCCTGCCCATTTAGGGTTATAAAGAAGCGACTGTGTGATGTTTTTGCTTTAAGCTGCGAAAGTTCTCAACATGAACTCCCA